ATGTTTCAAACTGTTTCACTGTTTTTTTTAAATATATTTTTACCCTCCCACATTTAATTGCCAAGACGTGCAACCTTTTTCACAAGCCTTTGTGTGTTTTCCACAAAGTTTCAAATTTTAATAGCTATTAAACGTGGATTAACTCTCATCTCTAAGAGGCTTTTCCTTTGGGATGATTCAAGATCTGATTGCTTGACAAGCTTGTTTTGACTAACTCCCAAACCAAGAGTTATCAGACAAAAATAACACAGCAACTGACTCAATCTACCAAGTTTATCTCTAATTAACAGGGATTAATTGAGCTTTGACTTCGCTCTGCAAGCCAAGCAGAAGGTTAATTTGTGCGAGCCGGCCCATTATTGCCTCTAGGCTGTTGATCCTCACTGTTTAGGGCTATAGGTCCCACAACCCTAATTCATGTGACTATGATCATGTTCCTCCTGCAGTGGTGGGTACTAATGAATTATACATTTTACCACATTGAAAAGAGTTTATAAGAAGGGGATTTAAGACATAAAAATTCCACAAGACTACATCAACTACAACTGTTCCGGTTTGTTCTTTCTACTGTACCCGCCGCAATGAGAAATACAGCTGCTTCCTTCCTTTAATTATCCTTGTTTGTATAGGCCTTTTGTTACATGAGAAGTCAGAAAGAGTGGTTTATTAAAAGAGTACAGTGTCACTTTGCATGTTAGCTATCTCACCTTAAAGCAGTGCTGCCCTTTGAACAAAAATCTTCTCAATAATGCATAAGGCAAAGAGCATTGCTGTATTCCCACTAATTATGATTCCATCTGACTATCAACTAATGCTCTTTGGAAAAGGTGGGGTTATTCAACAGTCTGTTAACTAACCTGCATGTTAAGGAAATCTTTCCTTTAGGTTAGCATTATCATAAGCTTTAAAAACTGATGAAACTAACCTTTTTTAGGTCCCAGAATGACCAATATGGAGCTTTTTATTTTGGGGTCACTTGGAAAATGTATATGGTTCGATCTTATTAAAAACTAACACTTTATCTTTTCTTGACTTAACAGACAAAAATAAATGCTGACATGTTTTTTTATCTCTTCCTTTGCTTACAAATAAATAATTATAAGCAGAGTTTTTTAAGCCGTTATCATGGATCTTGTCTTGGAGGGCGCTCTTTCATATTGGCCTCGCATTATAATCAATTACACTGCAAAGAGTGGGACCTTCTGGCGCTGACGTGGGGGTTGTGACGTCAGATGCCGGAGAAAGAATGAAACTTCTACACCCTGTATGTAGCGGATTCACATCCTGCATGATTACACATAATGTCGCTTTCATTATCACTGTATTCCCCTCACAGGCGTATTCCTCGGCAGCCTTTGCAAGATCTCTCCGAGTTCATTTTCTTCCTTTTCCTGCCTTCTGAAGTAGCTCTTCCTCCGGATCAATCTTCCAAGACAGAATATATCAGAATGTGATGCTTTGATTATGCTTTTTAAGAAGTGTTGATAATTTGTGGGTAAAGAGCATAACTGTCTCTCCCACCATCCACCACAAACGCAGTGAAGCTTCTCTATGTGAGGAGGAATTACATTATGTGCAATGATCAGCAGTGCCTGGGGGCCACATCAAACACAGTACGAAAACCTTCCAGAGGAGATAAAGCCAGGCCAATTTCACAAGTGGCTTTTTATTGGTTGATTGCACATAGGCCAGGTTGTTATCTAAAGCCTCAAACTACTTGGACAAAAAAGCAATGCTTTACAACCTCATAGGTTGCGCAAACTTCTTCCCCCGATAAAAAGCCAAAGCAATGTTTACAGTTAAGAATTTAGCAGGATGATAGCTTAGATGCTAAGGGTAAACTGAAGGTAGTGTCTACAGCATAAACAAATTAAACAAGATTTAACTTCTTTTTGAACAACTTTGGATTTTGTATACTTGTTAAATCAACAAGTGAGCAGTTTTCATGACACTCAAGTGTGATGAGTGGAGATAACCTTTTGTTTGTTTTCCCCAAAATATACCTCAAAATAGCCAGGATGACAAACAAACCTCTGCCACAACAATGAGGTTGAATGCAACCATTAATGGTTTCATTTATCATTTTGCATAATTATATTTACTCCACATTGGAACTATGGGGATAATTATCTGACAAATAATGTGAATTCAAACATGGCCCGTGGGTTTTTCAGTCAGCATGACATCGACAGACACTGATGAGCAAACTGACCCTTGATTACTTCGTTAAGTTGGTTCCAATTAAAACTAGATCAGTTACAGTGCTTCTGTGGATTTTCTGCCTGCTGGACTGGAGAGATTTTGCTCAGATCACCTTTACCCCAAACATACTGTAGCTGTCTCATTGCACTTGCATTAACTTGTGTTGTTTTGTGGTAATGAAAGCAAAAGCACACAAGACTACATCTAGTAGACATCTAAATTAGATGTCTCTTTTATTCATTTAGTTATTTTTTTATTTTTTGTTTGTTTTTTGTTTGTTTTTGCTACCATTCAATAAATGAATGAATAAATGTCAGTGTAATATTGGATTTTCCTGATGCTCGCGGCAATTAACGCAACCCCTGGACTTCCCAATTTAGACATGATTTTTGCATTCAGGATATTTTTAAAGATGCATTGTCTTTCATTTATCATCAACAAACCTGTTGTCAACATATAATGATTAGCTTAAAAGCACATCTTTGCTTTTTTGTTATTACTATATTGTATCATTATCAAATGATATGATCCAAACTAATGTCAGTGTGGATGTTACAAGGAAACCAGAGAATAGGTTTAAAAAAAAAATGACGGTATAAAAAACTAGACGGAGTTTTTGCAAGACAGATATCTATCAAAAGCATGAAAGATATCAGCCAATTGCCTGGAGTGTCACTGTGACCCCTGTATAAAGCAGCATTCTTGCTTTAAGATTTTTTTGATAAACCTCTCCACAGTGTTCACTTATCTGGACACCAAGTCAAGAGGTCAGAGCTACAAGAGGCATTAGTCTGACAAAGATGTGGGAAAGGAAGCTTTCATTTGAGAAATCAATCTGGAACTGGGAGAAAAAAGAACACATGAGGCAGAAAGAGATTATTTCACCAAAAGATATGTTTGAAATTATAACGTGTCCGCATGATGCAACAACTGGTAGAATCTGAAAAACGAGTTTGTGAAAGGACATCCAAACCTTGCCTCATCAAAAATGTGCTCAAATAAGTAAATATCCCTTTGCAAAAAATGGTCATGACTCATCAAACACTTTTGGTCACTTAGAACTCTCTTCAGGCTACTTGAGGACAAATGCTTTGGATGATGGCATTAAACAGGTAACCTTAGGAAGACATTGTTCAAGCCAGACACCATTAACCACCCTCTCATCCTACCCAACACTAATGCGGGTCAGAGGCCACTTTATAAAACATCTTCATCATCTCACAGAGCACTGCTGGATTTTGGTCAGTGTCATGGCAGCTTCCAGAAAATTGCGATCAAGAGAAACAAAACAACATGCGCACAGTCTTTGCTTTTCCTTTTTTGTGTGTGAATTAGTGTTCTGTGTATACTGCAGACATAACCAGCTCAGGTCGGAGGAGCCCTACCTTTAAAGAGGACTGCTTTGGCCCAACTTGGGTGGATGTAGTTGGTGTTTTATTGAGCCATTTTGCAAGTGGTTCTTTTGCACTTGAAAGAAAAGGAAAAACAAATCACTTGAAAAATTATGTATTAGTTATTTTGTCCATTCCATCAACATCTGTACAAAATAAATTGTAAGAGCTCTGTGACAGTAACAGTTATTTGGAAAAAATAACTACTCCTCTTTAGAAATTGACAGATTCACTGTGTCTGAATACTACCAAGTTTATTTCTATGTCTAAATTTCATAAGTAGCTCTTAATCAGTTTAAACAGCTCAAAATTACATGTTATTAAACTTACATGTTGCTCGGGCCATCTACCTCTTTCAAAGCTGTTGCTTTTGCACACAGGACACACTTCAGTGGGTGCAACTAATTATGCACTTGCATTATGGTGTTCCGATTCAGAAGTGAACAGGTGAGAGGGTCACATCACATGTTCACTCTTACTCTGATTACACTCTGTTGAAAAGAAACCCAATCTTTATCCTGATTAGAGTCCTTCTCAGTAAACCATTGAATCATTTGAATCATATGGAGGCAATCAGAGGGTGGTTGTTGTGTGAAGAATGGGAAAAAAACACAACTATGCATGAAAGATTTGCTACAAAGAGATGTGTATGGGAAAATTTACATAAACTTTCTTTCCTGTACTTTTTTCCAACTTTTATATATGAGGAATATCAAATGATGGCACTTGGTTAGTTTTGATGTCTTGCAATGCCTGCAACCTACTGAAACAGACTTATTGAGCTACCCCTGACCAATAGTCTTTAGTTGGGCAGATTCATTTACAGTGCTTTCAAGACAAGTAAAGGCATGACATGATCATGGAGCTTTACCCACCGAAAAGCAGGAAGAACTTGACTCTTAGACCAGAGACTCTCATGTATGATCACAGTTCTAAAATTGGAGGAAAAAAATGTGTTGTGCAATTCCCCGTACTCAGAATCTAAACTAAGTTTTCATGTTTGTGAATATAATTCACACATCATCTGTTATATACTATCCATCTGGCTGTAACCTAAGAGTGAGATTTCTATTTTAGATCAGGTGAAATGTAAGTTTTACAACCAAGATAATTTCCAAGCTTTAAATGTTTTTGGTTTGTCCTTTTGGATTCAGTTGACTGAGTTCTTTATTTTCTTTTGCTGTTTTTAATCATTTCCAGTTGGGGACCGGAGAGCAAAAATTCAATGTTTGTGTCCTACAGGCTCCACTCAGTCTATTCTGATTAACCAATGCTACAGCTATTCCTCTCCATAGCTCGCTGAGCCCTTTAACATTATTTGTTTCATAAATGCACAATTACCACATGAACCCCTAACTAAGATCTTTCTTTCTTTGTTCTTTCTGTTTTTTGCAGAGCCGTGACATAATGGTGGACTGTATGAGCAAAGTCATGCTGCACTCGGTCATCTCATGCTGGCAGCCTTTCCTGGGACTGGCCCTCGTGGCTGTCTTTGTGAGTTCTACCTTGGGATGTCCCTCACGCTGTGAGTGCTCAGCACAGACTAAGGCAGTTGTCTGTCACCGTAAACGTATGCCCACCATCCCGGATGGCATCCCTACCGAGACCAGGATCCTTGACCTGAGTAAGAACAAGCTGACAATGATCAATCCTGATGACTTTGTTGCCTTCCCGGGGCTTGAGGAACTTGACCTCAGCGGAAATGTTATCAGCTATGTTGAGCCTGGAGCTTTCAATGCCCTGTTTAACATGCACTCGCTGAGTCTTAAGAGCAATCGTATCAAACTCATCCCGCTGGGTGTCTTCACAGCCCTCACTAATCTTACCCAACTGGACATAAGTGACAACAAGATTGTCATCCTCCTGGATTATATGTTTCAGGATTTGCATAATCTTAAATTTTTGGAAGTGGGTGACAATGATCTGGTTTATATTTCTCACCGTGCATTCAGTGGACTCATAAGCCTGGAAACACTAACCCTGGAAAGATGCAACCTTACAGTTGTGCCCACAGAAGCCCTCTCCCACCTGCATAATCTGGTTAGTCTCCATCTGCGTTACCTTAGCATAAGTGCTCTGCATCCGTACTCATTCAAAAAGCTTTTCCGGCTACGCCATTTAGAAATCGACAACTGGGCTTCACTTGACCACGTCCCAGCTAACACTCTACACGGCCTGAACCTCACAACGCTGTTTATAACCAACACCAACTTGTCCTCTTTCCCCTACCAAGCCCTGAAGCATCTGCCCTATCTGACATACCTCAATTTATCTTACAACCGCATCAGGCACATTGAGGGTGGTATGCTGATGGAGCTGGTTCGGCTGCGGGAGCTCCATTTAGTCGGAGCTCAGCTCACCGCCATCGAGCCATATGCCTTTCAAGGCCTGCGGGGCCTCAAAGTTCTCAACATCTCTCACAACCGGCTGGACACACTGGAGAAGGGTGTTTTTCAGTCTCCCGAAGCTCTGGAGGTACTCCTGATCGACAACAACCCTTTAGTTTGCGACTGCCGTCTCATGTGGATCCTACAGAAAAGGCACTCCATCTTCTTTGGGGATTCTCAGCCCGAGTGCAGCACACCCGAGGGCATTCGCGGACGCCCTTTTAAGGAATTTAAGGAGACTCTTCTGTCTTATTACGTGACATGCACGAAGCCAAAAATCCGCGAGAATAAAACGCAAACAATCACAGTAGATGAAGGCCAACAGGCGATGCTGCGCTGCAGTGCTGACGGGACGCCGAGGCCCAGTGTGTCGTGGATATCCCCACGTCGACGAGTGCTCACCAACAGGAACCACGGAAGAGTGACGGTGCACAACAATGGAACACTGGAGATAAAGTCAGCAGAGATGCAAGATAGTGGAGTGTACCTTTGCCTTGCCTCCAACACGGCTGGGAATGACACCCTGATGACTTCACTTGCAGTTAAAAGTCTGGGATCGCTGTATGCTAACAGGACCCAGTATTACACAGATCCTAGCAACGCCACTGCCAACGGGACGGCCAACGTGACCCTCGGCTTGGACCTTAAGACTATATTAGTTTCAACAGCTATGGGTTGTTTCACCTTCTTGGGAGTGGTCTTATTTTGCTTCCTGCTCCTTTTCGTTTGGAGCAGAGGAAAAGGAAAACATAAAAACAACATAGATGTTGAGTATGTGCCACGGTCAAAGTCTAACGGCACTAACGTTGATTCAGCAGAGGGACAAGCTGGTCCTCGTCGTTTTAACATGAAAATGATGTGAATTTATATATATATATGTGTGTATATATATATATATAAACATATATATAGAAAGAGATCCAAAACTGGATTGTGGAAATGCCCAGAGCACAATGTATTTTTTTCAAATAGGATGACAGAACTTTTAACTTCTGCAGGGAGGGGAGATCAAAAGAATCTTTAGGGCATCATAACAAAATGAGCAGCACCTTCTGCCAGAGGATCTTAACATAATGCTTGGCTGTTGTGTTTTCAAATATGAGGAGCAATGGACAACTCTAGAATTATTGACAGCTGGCAACTTCTTGGATGAGGACTAGAAACAGCTGTCGCCAGTGGGACCTGGAGAGAAATGGTGTCATATAACACCTTTTTGAAATGTATGTGCCCAACAAGAAGCTTTTGGGTGGACTCTGCAGACTCAGCAGCACCATGTACAGTACAAGTTTGTATCTAAGCTATTAACCTACTTTGTTAGTCTTGCGCCATGCTTATTCACTGTACGAATCAATGAGACAGGTCACTTTTCTCTTTTGTTCAGTACTATATGTACCTAATGCCTCATTATGTACATGTATGTACATATTCATTCAAGAAAAATATTCATAGCAATATTCATGGGATGCATTAGCCAAAACTGATATAACCCCATATGTTCAACAAAAACATTCTTCAGACTTTTCAAGTTTTCATTGATCCAAGAAGGGCTTCACTGGCTGATTATTTGTCATGTTCCCTCAATTGACACGTGGATATAAATGAATATTTATCCTTTACTAATAAGAATAAAAAAAACAGTTTCTTTTATCAAAAGTACCAAGTGTTTTACAAAAAAAGAAAAAGTCCATCAACATTTTTCAGGTTCTAACAATACACTTGGATCATCCAGACCATGAGCTAGCATTAGTCAAAGTACCTACATAAACCACCTTTCTGTCCTTTTTTTGTCTCTTATTATTCCTTTAACTGTCCCTTTGCTAGTTGGCAAACTACATGTGTCAGTTTTACTAAAGTGACATTTGCATCATTTTCCCCTGTAGGAAATTTGGACTTTGTTGTGGTAGTTCTTCATTTTGTTGTTGAATCATTTAGATTGTGTAAACTTCAACAGTAAAAGTTTTAAAAAAAATTGTATGTGAAATAAATGAAGATGTATTTGTACTAGTGAGTCTGACTAAATGGTTACAAGACAACATTTTCCTAACAATCTCAATGAAGGACATCTTATAGGTTTGGACTTCGAACACTGAAATATGCACATTTTATAAATCAAAATATTTAAATATGTAAAACTTCAAACATGAAACAACAGATTTATGTATATTTGTGTCATTGTTAAGCTTTGATCATTAATCTTTACAAAACACTGAAGTATGACAATTCATTCATTCTTCTAACGTCTCACCACCACATACAATTTATAGAATATCAATCATACAATTTCCTATTTGTTTCCTTATCATTAGTTGGCAGGCCCATCAAGCGGGTTTCAAATGAGACGCAAGTGCAAAACAAGATTGCAGATGACAGTATTGCATGTCACAGACATAAAGTTAAGTTAAGAAAGCAAAGTAAGTGAATATTCAATCATGTTTTGTACCTGTATACAATGAATCAATATATATATATATATATATATGAACATTTGAGTTTCTAAATCTGAAAGGAATGAGCAGTGTCTTTTGCTCTCGTGGTCGGCATTCCCACTCATGACACAGAGCTAACAAAGAAGGGTAAATAGAAGTAAAATAAGATAAACAAACCATTTAAATTGACATGCATTTTCTGTACTCTCTTATTGGAATTCATATTCCACCACAGGGCCGGAGGGAGACTGGAGCCTCCAGCTGTCATTGGGTGGGGGTACATACTCGACAGGTCACCAGTCCATCACAGGGTCACACAGACGCAAAGGAAGTGAACTACACTCAGCAGTTAACCTAACATGCATACCTTTGGATGATGGGAGGACGTCGGAGCACCCAGAGGGAAAACATATACATGGGGAGAATATGCTAATTCCAGTCAGACAGGCAACAATGTAAAGCATGGACCCTCTTGCTGTGAGGTGACGGTGTAAACCAACACACCATCATGCAGCCCAGATCAGAAAAATCTGGTCACAGTTGAGCTACTGATGAAGTTGGAAGTTACAGGCATTGTTAGATTATCAATATTGAGCGTCTCCTGCAATGGAGGGAGAATGGCAAATCACAAATGTAACACGAGATAAGTGTTGACAATGATCCTCATCTTATCAGTCTGGGTCTGAACAATAACGACTGGTTGATCATAGTTTACCACAATAGCAACGGTTTATCTGGCTCTTTAAATTGACTCTTGAATCCAGCAATCTAACATCATACTAACCTTCTTATGACTCAGCTGTGATTGAAATTGGAAAAAAAAATATTGAATTATATCTTTCTTTTTAGATTTTTGTCTAAAAAGCAGCACAGGGTGAACTTCAGATAAAATTATCATGTTTCATATTTGTGCATGAACAGTACCTAAACTGCTAAACTCATGTTGATGTACAAAAGATGTTTGGATGGTAGATTAACAACCGAGGCTACTGGTGACGTTATTGGTGCAGTTTCCTTTATTTTTCTCTGTTTTGTTAAAAATAAACTTGTGCTGTTGCTCATTTATGCAGTCTCATTAAAAGCAAAATCGTACATTTGGTTTCTGAGCCAGTCTCCAGGGCTACTTCAGAAATAAGAGCGGAGCACCAAAAAGTGCCTCTGAGCATACAAGAGAGACAAGGTTAATCTTCTGCCCTGGTCTGTGGCTCTTATTTCATCAAATTACATGAGAAAAGTTATCCTGACACTGTTTTCCTGTTAGCAGAATTTACAAAGGACACATACTGTGTAGTCTGCATTTTTGTCTTTGCTTTTGGCACTTATTTTACTTGCAATGGATCCACACAGTATGCTGTGTGTCCCAAATAGAGAAAGTATATTACCTTTTTCTCTTTTTATGTTTCGTAAAAGATTTTTCTTTTAGTCAAGCATGTCACAGCTGTCATATATCTTTATAGGGGAAATACTCGTTCCAATTTTATATATAACACTACCTAAACAGCTGAAATGACTGGTTTTATGGCCAGCCTATTGGTAATCCAGATACAGTTATAATGTGTAAGTTGGGTCTCTATGGTCATTCCGAATAAGCTTTTGGTTTTATATGGATTTCTTTCTATTAATTGACCACATTGTGATTGGTCAGGTCATTTGCATTGCATCTGCAAAGCTGACAGCACCATGTGGCGGCTTGTCTGCCTCTTATCAGATATTGACAGATCTGACCTCTCTTATTCTCCCACTAATTAGAGAGATAATTTTGCAAAGCAGATGGGAGTCTTAGCCTTAAGTGACTAATGTAATTTCAGAAAAAAACAGATTTTTCTTCCTGCTCATTTCTCGGCTCAAGGGGCACAGAAAAATATGAATCATTGACTAGATTTCTAAACTACTCAAAAAGGCCATTTATTTTAATCACCATGATTGATTATTGCACACCGTCTAAAAGGTGAGACACTTCAAAACTTTTAAACTAATAACAAATCACATGCTGGAAACATGTGAGAAGGTAGTAAATTGGCATATTTCCTCAACAATCATAAAAATGCAGCTAATGGGACTAATGCCACATCTCTAAACCATTATGCATTCCTCAAGTATCTTCTTAAAGAGGGAAAAAAAAAATTGCCTATAAATGTGATAAACTAGTGTATGTTGAACTTTTCCTTACATTGTAGGTGTGTGTATTTCACTTGTGTCTATCACATCAACAGTTGTGTTACAGGATGTTTAATGTGAAACTGAAAACATTATATCCAAAACCAAAAAAGGTTAATCAGCATACACACATCTAGACTCCCTTGAATTTTCTGTTATTTTATCACATTGCTGGCTGATTTTTTTCTTTAATTTTCTTGAATTATTATTATTATTTTAGTCTTGTTTTTAGTCTTAGCTAAGAAAAGTACTTGATACAATTCAGGATCAAGTCACGGCTTGCTTAAAAATACACCCTTCCAAAATATAATTGCTCCATGTTCTAAAACAGCGGCCTATTCTCACTCTCCTCACAAGACTTTGTGATGTTTGAAGACAACAAAGAGTTTGAAATCAAGCTACTGTTTGCTGGACAAGTGAATGCTTTAGGACACATATATAAAGCACTCTTTCCATTCAGAGGTTGAGTCAGTTTTGGGAATTCATTTACCTGCCATTAGTACCAGAACCAAAGACAATGAACATAAAACCTTTCTGTTTTTACACAACAGCAAAAGTAGCAGTTTTGTAAATACTCAAAGAATTAAACGGGTACTTCAAAAGAATCAATCTCTCTACCGTACATACACCACCAGTTCTCATTGGTAACGTGGTATACTTGCTGAAAATGAATGAATCAATAAGCCTTTTCTCGTGAGAAAAAAAAAAATTGTTTGCTGTGAATGACAAGGGCTTCTACATTTCTCTGCTGCTTGAGTAAATTCACATATCCCCAAAGCAGCTCAAAGTAGTAGAAATGGGGGGGGGGGGGGGGGAAGCATGCACATTTTCCTGTTGAGATTCTTTTAGTTTTGAAATTATGCACCATATTGTCTGATGGATTTCCAAGCCCAACAGGCCACAGAACGCAACACATAAAAGATCATATAAACCTGCAACTCAAGGGAGAAAAAAAAGAGCGTGTGGAAATCAGGAGCTGTGTGGTTTAGGTTTGACAAGAGAGTGGAGCTGGTTGCAGCTGAAGTCTTGGCTGTGTGTGCTTTCATTAGGCTCCCCGATGACAGACCGGTCTGCCAAATGAGCTCCCATGTGAGCCGACTCCAGTTCCAAACCAGCGTCCAAAAATTGTGTCTGTCTGCAAAAGAGGAGCACACGCGTGTGCTGCTATGC